CCACCCCGACCCCGAATAGCAAGTTCGTGTTGCATTTATCACCATGAGGACCTTCTTGGTATGAGCAGTTGGTTTACGGATTTCGTTTCTCAAAAATTGGTTGGTAGTTGAAATAAAACCTAAAAAATGTACTTCTTCTTACAATGAATATTGTCGGTGGGTGAGAAAAAGAATCAAATTTCTGTTGGCAATATTTTGTAAAATGAAACAGTTCAGTTCTTACAGCGTTTACATGAGATTATACACGTGGTACACACTGGGTAAAAGCTATGACTAGGGAGCAGACAATTAGGGGTCATTGAGCATGTACCACTTGTCTCTGTCAGACAGGGAAACACCTTCTGGTTGTTTAGTCATGAGCGTGATTATTTTAAAATTCGCATTATCGATTTTGGGGGTCAACGGATCCGAGGCGTATTGTGTTTACCCCCCCCCCCCCCCCCCCCCAAAAAAAAATAATAAAAGTATTTTGCGGAAATTTTAATCATATTTGTTATCCGTGTTGTGTTTAGTGTTTTCCGAGACACATAGTTTTTTTGAGTGGGTGGATCTTGTTGAACGCCGCAGTCCTGGAATTCCAGGTTTATCACGGGCACCATTCTATTTCCGACACTAATTTAGAAAGTTTGATTCGGGTCGATCGGACAATACTTTACCGTCTGCTAACTCAGGTTTTATTATCAGGATCAATCCATCAGTTAATGATTACCATCGTTAGACAGGCGATGTCTGATTACACAGAAGGCAGTCATTACACTGTCTGGGTGGGGCCAGATCGTAGAACCAGCTTCACCGGCACTGTGATCAAATGAACTCTCCCGAGAACGTCACTGAACACAGGTCACACACACAGACCAAGAACGTTTTCCAGGTATAATGAAATAGTCATATATGTGTCTCGATTTGAATCGATCGTCATTAAGTATTCTGAGTATTATACAAATCAAGAGTTTAATATTTACGAGGTAATATCCTCACGTGCTTGAACATTGTTGATATTTAGCCTATTCCGGTCACGTTCTTGGAGAGCCGATTTCATAAAATGGGAATCAGATAGTCAGGTTGAGTATATCCACCTGGTCCAGACCAGATTTGTTACAGGCCGCAGAGACATATCTGGGATATTGACAACTGCGGCATTAAACAACAAACAATCATTGATGGTGCATTAGTCACAGTATTGTGGTAGGTGTTTGAAGCGCACATAAAATAACAACTCAACTGGAAACTTGGAGACGAGCAAGTGTTATCAGGTTTGGTCAATTACTATACTAAGGGAAATAACTCCACCACACTGCTTGAAAGAGCAGTGGGCACGAAAAGGTCTACCTGCAGCGCACATTCGACTTCTTACTTTTTACGTTTTTATTTCACTTGGTTTACATATTATAGTTTCTTTTTCTAAGTTTGTTTGTTTGTTGTTTAACGCCCCATTCAGCATTATTCCAGCTATATGACAGGGTCTGTAAATATTCGAGTCTGGACCAGACAATCCAGTGATTGACATCATGCGCATCAATCCACGCAATTTGGATACGATGACATGCATCAACCAAGTCAGCGAGCCTGACCACCCGATCCCGTTAGTCACCTCTTTCGACAAGCATAATCACCTTTTATAGTAAGCATGGGTTGATGAAGACCTATTCTAATCGGATCTTCATTGGTCTTCTTTTTCTAAGCATTGAGTTAATCAAGATTTAAAACATAAAAAATTGACGCCTGATTTTTTTCTCTTTTGTGAAAAAGAAAAGATGGGGGAGGTTGGACGAAAAAAATATTTATGTGAAATGTGACAGAAATGTTTATTTTCATGGGAACAAAGTCACACTACCTAAAGTTATTGTAAGCTCTTATTGATATTTATCGTGGCTGTTTCTTATGCCTTTAGCAACAACATTTTATGGGACATTTAAGCATTCACCAAAACATATATTTTTTATAATACATTTTCTTTTCTTATGTAATTTATGAGATAAACAAGCTTGTAATACTCATATCCCCCGCCAATATGACATGTCCGGTTGTGTGCAATGCATTAGCTCCTGTGAACTATGTTCACGGGGCCTTTTTGTAAAAAAAAGTTATTACTGGTGTTGTTTTGCTATCTACAGTTTATGATAGAATATGTAACTGAATTTGTAATGAGTAAGGATGAGACATATGGACGAACAACTTCTTTATAACAATTAGGAGCGATGGTTTCGGTGTAGGTTCTAACACCATTATCAAGCAAATGAAGTACAGAGTATGGTTGACAAGAATATATAGTGTTTATACTGTTGAGTAGGTTTATACGGTGGCCCATAAGGGACATGGAGTCTGTTTTTCAATATTTTGATATTTCACTTACTTTTATCATAACCTTTTGCAAATTAACACACTTTGTCATACAAATATGTGATAAATCATGTATAAAACAACCGAAAACATGGAAAATGTACTTTCAAGTAGCTATTGAATCGCTGAAATGTGAAGCGAAAATGTCAAAAACTAAAATGAAAATGTCAAAAACAAAAACGAAAAGGTCAAAAACTAAAATGAAAATGTCAAAAACTAAAATGAAAATACAGAAAACTATTTCCACCGCGGTGAAAACTATTCCCACTGCGAGGGAAATAGTTTTCTGTATTTTCATTTTAGTTTTTGACATTTTCGCTTTTGTTTTTGACATTTTCGTTTGCGTTTTTGACATTTTCGCTTCACATTTCAGCGATTCAATAGCTACTTGAAAGTACATTTTCCATGTTTTCGGTTGTTTTTATACATGATTTATCACATATTTGTATGACAAAGTGTGTTAATTTGCAAAAGGTTATGATAAAAGTAAGTGAAATATCAAAATATTGAAAAGCAGACTTCGTGTCCCTTATGGGCCACCGTTCAGTTACACTGCTGTATTTGTAATGAGTTGTGTTTCTGCATGAAGTTAGTCAGTGAATGCAACAACTGTGTCCATGACACTTTTGGAGGAACATACACTCAAGCAATGCAGAACTTACCAACAAGAAAGAAAATGTATTCAATACTGTGAGATGACATTATGTGCCAAGTTTGGTGAAGAAATATAGTACTGTTTTCAAGATCTGCTCCGGAAACGAGAACTACCGCCATTTTCAGTCTAAATAAAGTCGTTGCCATGGAAACTCGAAAATTAACTTTAAAAAAAAATCCCAAACTATCAAAAGGCACCAGTTCACCACTAGACCTATCTATGTGCCAAATATAGTGAAGAAAAATGGTACGTTTTTCAAGATCTGCTCCGGAAACAAGGACTACCGCCATTTTCAGTCTAAATCAAAGTCGTTGCCATGGAAACTCGATTTTTTTTTTTTTTAAAATCCCAAACTATCAAAAGGCCCCAGTTCACCACTAGAACTATCTATGTGCCAAGTTTATTGAAGGAAAATAGTACTGTTTTCAAGATCTGCTCCGGAAACGAGGACTACCGCCATTTTCAGTCTAAATCAAAGTCGTTGCAATGGAAACTCGAAAAATATTTTTTTTTAAATCCCAAATTATCAAAAGGCACCAGTTCACCACTAGATCTATCTATGTGCCAAGTTTGGTGAAGAAATATGGTACGGTTTTCAAGATATTCTCAAGAAACGAGGACTACCGCCATTTTCAGTCTAAATCAAAGTCGTTGCCATGGAAACTTAAAAAAGATTATTTTTTTTAAAATCCCAAACTATCAAAAGGCACCAGTTCACCACCTGATCTATGTGCCAAGTTTGGTGAAGAAATATGGTACGGTTTTGAAGATCTGCTCCGGAAACGAAATGTGACGGACAGACAGACGGCAGGACGGACGGCACCACTCCTACATCCCCCTTCCACTTCGTGGCGGGGGATAATAAACATGGCTCTTAAATAGTGCACACTTTTGTTATTTATCGAGTAACATGATGTGGTCACATGACTTGATCCAAGATGTCTGACAGTCGAAATGCTTATAACAAACTACGGTTATAACGAACTAAACTTATATAGTGGTCACTTTGAGTTCGTTTTAACCATAGTTTACTGTATTTTTTTCCACATTCCATAAACCAAGTAATAAAATAATAAAACGCCTTGCCACTTGCAGGATCAGTGTGATGTGGGAGTTCAGTGCTTCACTGGACACACATTGTGACGGATGTGTTACAGCATGTAATATTGAATGTCATGTTAGTTTCGGATGGAAGACGGTTGCTAGTCAGTAAGAGTAACTGTGTGTAGAGAACAGCAGCTGTTGACGATCAAATCATAATGAGGCATTTTAGAATGAATTTTTAAATGTTTATTCTTTTCTCTTTTTTTCTTTCATTATACAGCACTTTAAACATGAAGCTTGTAACCATTCAACAAATCTCGTTTTGATAATGCCATGATCCCTGATAAACAAATATATTTATTTCATGACACAAAATATTGGCAAATATATAATAAATACATCATCAATAAAACTATTTTGTAAAAATCATATTTCAGCTTTATATATATTATCCTTATTTACATCCAGCTGTAAAAGGTGAAACAAATTGCCTGTTTTAGATAATCCTGTTTTCCATAAAGTTGTTTTGAAGTCATAATAAGACATAAGAAAAAAATGAAGGCAAACTATCTTAGCGTATCATAATGTCTACATGAAAGCTCTTCATTTGTGCCCAAATACAATTTTCAATGGAATTATACTTAATTCAAAATAGTTCTTGCATTCTAGTCAGTGAATACCAGTAATCTATTAGATATTTAACTTTAATAGTGTGTTTACCTACCAGGCAAACCACATGGTATCTGATACCCAGTTCCATATACATGTTAATACAATAACATCACATACATTGAATGCATGGCATTGAATATGATTGTCTTAATTATGAATTTCAAAGCACTTGCTCTCATCATTTCTAATACATACTTACAGGGATTTGTCCTCATAGAACTCAGTGACCCTAAAGTTGGGGGATTGTCTGCCCATTGTATACCAGTGACCCCCACTAATGAAATTGTCTACCCTCCTGTTTCGGATGACAGACACTGTAACACCTCAGTTTGGGAGAATGTTGAGCTAACAGTGAATAAATGCAGACTGATAAAATCACCAGGATTTGACACTCCATGTATTAACTTACATGGATGTATTTAAGCTGGAAAATATGAAGACAATGATTGATTCTGTTCCCTCTTAGTCTTATGTAATTAAACATTTTGAGAGTTTTCATTGTGAGGCTTGTGATCCAGAAAGTCTCACTCTACTCATCAGCTGCATGTCTGACATATATACAGACAGTGGACCTGAAGAAATGTTGGCTGTATTTATCCAGTGGTCCAGGGTATAGGCTGAACCATCATATGTGGAAGTGTGGATGAGGAAAGGTCTCTTCATGATATTTCTTACCTTGGAGTAAAACTGTAAGCCATCAAATAACCAAATATTCACTGTAACCTATAATTATAGAATACCCGATGAACTACAGCATATGCAGCAAGAGGTCATCTACCCCTCCTTTCAAAACAAAACTTAAGCCACCAAATGTAATACATTTTAAAGGTCTTGTCAAGGCAATGATCATACTTATCAAGGCTAAGTGTAAGACCTAAGTGTGCTTTCAAACAGATTAATGACGTCAGTCCTTTACTTTATTTCTTTGTTAGAAATGCTCCACATTTGTATACATTCAATAACACGCCTAAATTTTTCCAGTCAACACATCATGTTTCATTATCATTTATCGATCAAATTATGGATCCAAATTTTCATCCAACACTACAGTTAACTGGGGTTTCCAAATTCAAGGCCTTCTCAAGGCAAATTTAAATTCAAGTCCTTCTCAATGTAAATTCAAATTGAAGGTCTTTTCAATGTAAATTTAAATTAAAAGTCTTTTCAAGGCAAATTCAATTTCAAGGAAAATCAGATTCAAGGTCTTTTAAGTTTGAAAGAAACTTGTATCTGGAGTGAAGGAACACCAGAGCCACAAGCCCTGGCAAGTGACTCACAGCACTCATTCAGGAGGGACAGGGAATCTGTTGTTCCACGTTTAGAGTAAGGTTATTCTATATATTACTCATTATCATTTCAAGAAAGAAAACGAAAAATGTTTTCTGATGTCAACTCAATGTTCAGATGACATAATGTTATCAGTTTGTGACATCATGAACAATGGATGAAGTCACAAGAGCTATCCTGAAGCAATACATGACATGGATCCCTATAAGCACATCTCCCGTACCGAGCTGGTGAATATTGCTCTGGGCCTCCCTATCTGCAGGTTTTCAGTTTTCTGCAGAGCACACACACACAGAGTCCAAAATATGTACATATTTTAAAAAAATATTTACAACATTGCTGTTGCAACAAATATAGACAGACCACAAAACCACATCTCTAAGAGAAATCTATGTTCAAGAATGTACAATATGTGTCTTGTATTTTCAATTTACTTTTTCAGTTCTGATTTCTCAAGCAGAACCGTATCATATGCTATGATGTCTTGTGATGGCCAAGCAACAAATAGCTCTGAAATGTCCTACAGAAATAGTACAGGTCTTTTCAGTGTTCTGTCAACTTCTGAAAGATCTTATGTTTCTAGTTTGTGAATGTATGCAGTAGAATTTCAGCATACCTTTTCATGTAAGTATGGTATAAGAAATACTATTTGTTGGCATTGATTTTCATTGAAGGCAGGGCTGGGATGGGTAACTCTGGTACTCGGGTCTGGTGGTTACTGAGTAGGACCCGGGTACCCACAGTACTACCCGGACCCATGGTTAGTCACGCGATGTATTGTTTAATGACAAAAACTCACTAGAGCTCAGTGGTTCGCATTTTTTTCTGATGATGCCCACATTCCTTTTGACTAAGTCTTGTATATGTTTGAGTAAAGATAAAGCTTCAGTCAACTTCATTGATTCGATCGTTTCATAAGAGACCATATATCTTTTATATGGTCTCTGGTCTCATACACGTATCTAAACAGTTTTTGCCAGGGCTACAGTTAAACTATTCCAAATTAGACATTGTGTTCCCAAACTCTTGAGACCTACACTGGGTACCCGGGTAGGGTAGGGTAATAGGGGGTAGTAAATTTGGACTTGTCCCAGCCCTAATTGAAGGACATATAGCCGTTGTGATACGAATACCTCCCTTGTGTGTATGAACAAAATACTTTGCCCACATACACAATATTGCAGACTGGCTTGACAAGAAACAATAGACTCTCTTTCAGACAGTCAAGCAGCTATATTCTCCCATCCCAAATGATTTAGGACTTCATAATGACATTCATGAACTTTATTCTTATTGCCCAATCCAGTTATCCAGGGTTGAATCTAACCCACCCTGGGTTGAATATATCCCACTATCCCAATATAACGCACTTGGTTGACATATCCAACTCGCTTGAATATTTCCCATCCAGGGTTGAATATACCCACCTCTGGGTTGAATATACCCCACTGTGAGTTGAATATACCCACCTCTGGGTTGAATATACCCCACTGTGAGTTGAATATACCCACCTCTGGGTTGAATATACTCCACTGTGAGTTGAATATACCCACCTCTGGGTTGAATATACCCCACTGTGAGTTGAATATACCCACCTCTGGGTTGAATATACCCCACTGTGAGTTGAATATACCCACCTCTGGGTTGAATATACCCCACTGTGAGTTGAATATACCCACCTCTGGTTATAACAGAGTAACAAGATATTGCCCAAGATTGCCTACATCACAGCACTCACTGCCCTTTACATTCATACTGGCCATTTTCCTCTTATTGCACAAACATATATAATCATCTTTCATATATTTACATTGTGTTGAATTGTCACACTGACTTCCATGTCCACTCACACTTAAATACATGTATGTGTAAAACTATCTGAATAAATGAACACATGCAATGGTTCATGTACATTTCCTTGATAATAACACTCATCCATTTATGACTGTTGATCAAAGTATGAACACTTATCCAATGATAATGCACTTATCCAGTGACAGACACTTACTGATTGCCAATGATGACTTGGTTCATTATCATAAAAACATTTTGGACATTGTCATGATGGAGGTATTGATAACAAAATGGCCAAGTTATATCATGTTTCTTCTGTTTATCAGACTGAGATGATTGTCATCATGTTCAGTTATCATATATGTAAACTGAGCAATTGAAGTAGAAATACTCTCAGCCAACAACCCTAATTTGCTGCTTTATAAAAATTACAAAATTACTTAATTATTTTTTTTATGAAAACTACTTCTGTGATGTTGCACTTTTACTTTTATAAGAATATGACACCATATATTCACTTCCATCTGGGAAATCAGCTGAAAAACAACCAAATAGTTGCAGCAGCAATATATTATAATATTTCCAAGTCCTGTGATGAGATTCGACCCACAGACTTTCTGTTCCGAGGTCGGACGCCTTCTCCACATGACCAAAGATGTTAACCCCATCATCAAGCTGACAAGGTGAGGATGTCATCTGAAGAATGACTCCACACCTTGCAACACATAGACTGTAGAACTGTTCACATTCTTGTTTAGGAATTGTAACAGTTCCCTTTGTAGAAGAGATCCATTGTTTCCTCCGTTCATTCTTCCATTCTTCCATCATTCTTTCCATGTACACAGTATATACAATGTGATATATACATCAAGCGATGGAGCACTTCATCCCGCTTTCCTCCTCCATTTGAAGTTATATGAGACATCCCACATTTGTGCGTCACTGTCCCGATGACACTCAGACAAAATCATATATTCGTTATCCTCAGCAGTCAGACAGAGGTCGGTGCCTCGTAGACTCAGGTGCTGGCTCTACAACAGAAAAACACACCAAACTTGTAGACATTATAATCTTTGAAATACTTATTGTTCAATCTAGCTCTACCAGTTTGTACTATTATGACAAGTGTCACATGGGCCTTGTTCCACAAAGCAATCTTAGAACTAACTCCAATACTTTAACATAAACTTACAGCAGTCATGGCACTGAGTAAATAATTACAATGTTACTATACCTATGAACTTAAAACCATAAAGTTCACATTTTTTAAATAAAATGATGTTTTTTAACCCTCCCTCAATTTTAAGCACTTAGTGTAAAATCCTAGATAAATCATTATTGAATGGCACACTTTCACATAGGTGTACCTACCTTCTCCTCCCAGACGTGGTGAGTGCATGGTCCTAGACCAACCATTTTGTTGTCCCCGGCAACCACACACTTGTTGCCATGGCGCAGATACCCATCTCCCGTCAAATAAAATAGCTGAAATTAACAAGATTTTTATAAAATCCTATGATGATGATGATGATGATGATGATGATGTCTGAATTAATGCTGAGATGACTTTACACTCACTATGTCACTATTTGTATCTCAAAATGATGTCTCACCTGAGCATCTGATTGTCCAAGACAACCAGTGAGATGCAGTTTGGTCTGGTTCACTCTGGTCTGGTCTGGTGAAGCAGTGAGACAGGTGAGCGAAGCATGATTCCGAAACTGAAGTAAATTAAAGCATCAGGTTAGAATCAAGAAACGTGAGAATTGAAACCTAAAGCATTTATTTTGACAGGGAATGGATGTGACATATTGATTATACCCCATGCTGATCAGGGTCCCCTTGCACAGAACAATCTTAGTGCTACAGTTATTGAAAATCCTTTTGATCGCGATCTTAGGCTTCGGCTGCAAATGCCATCCACTTGCACAAAGCGATTGTAGGTTAAGATCATTGTTAGCTACAACGGGGACCAATCTTGATTAGCTAAGATCTTTGTAGTCCCTGAATAAACTTAACAACATGGCGTGCAGGACATGGTCTGTTTCACATAAATAATCTGCTTTACATTCAAACATTGCCTCAGAATGCACCACAGATTTGACATCAGAAATATCGTTAATTGCGATAGTGAACCACACAACTAGCAAGTTAATAGCTAATGCTGAAAGAAGTGTGAAACAACATATCTTTTCGTTAATCAAGGGAATGATAAAAAGCTAGGTTGTCTGCGATTAGTTACGTCTGTGACCTGTGACCTAGTTTATATTCTAGATGGGAGTGGTTTCCCTTTGAATAAGCCCGTAGAGTAGAATCTACCTTGCCCAGTGTATTAATGGTATAAAATCACTGAGCTCCCCCTATATTTCTTCAGGGTCAAATTCATGTCAGTTATTTTGTCTTTAGTTTATCATTAAATAAATCTACAAATAAATACAAGTTTAAGCACAAAATCATACATGTTTAAATGATAAATCGAGTGGGACAGGGACAACGGTTTTAATATAGGAATTTAATTTTAAAAATACAAGTATTCATCAAACAAGCAAGTACACATGATGAGATATTTGAAATTTGTGTAAAATATCCCATAAATAGCAAAGGTAAAATTCACACTTTGTAAAAAAGATTATCAATATCATTAATTCCCAGTGAAAATATATTAAAAAAACTTCTTTCTGGAAATTTTATTTATCATTCTAAATTCCCGTCCATGGTTACTTGAAATCCCCGTCTTTCTGTGTTCTGAAAAGGTAGTCCTTTGTTATAGCAGCGAAACAAAAACATGAAGGATATATTACGAAAAGCTCCCCCAAATTGATGACGATCATACATTTACGTGTTATGTTGTTTAATGAAAGCTAGAGCCAAATTTATGAATGTATTTATTCATATCTTAATACTTTTAATAAAACATGAGTAGGTATTTCTTTTGTCGCAATATCAAACAAATCCTAAATCATGACAGCACCAATGCTGAAACATATATATATGTCATTATTCTAGTAATTGTTTCTTCAAATAATTGGCACCATTCTTAAATCTGTGCAAGGTGCGATGGAGGGAGGTATTTGCTGTGTGTCGTTACCGGTTCCACTTATTGCATGCGCAGCAAGCTAAGCACGTTTGCAGACAACTGTAGATGGGAGTAGAGCTTAAGATATTCATACCTCCACCGTTGAAGATTTCAATCTTAGCTAAGATCGCGATCTTAAATCCATGCCGTCTTACAATCACGCTAAGATCAGTTTGTGCAAGTGGAATAGGACTCTTGAATGGTGATTGTAAAGTTGATTGTAGCCGCCTTATATAAAGATGGATTGTAACTAAGATTGTTCTGTGCAAGTGGGCCAAGGCCTGTTGTCATTCTTCCACTCATATCATCCAGTATATATTAACATATACTTATTCAGGATTCACCTGATGAAGGAGCGAGAAGAAGCGTGCAGTGTCATGACAGTATAAGGTTATCCCTGAAACTTTCATGTCTTAGTGTACATCCCACTTCTAAATGCCAATCAAAGACTTCATATTGTACATTGTACAGACACAATTTTAGTTTATGGTCGATTCTATAGAGGAAACTACAAACTTTTGGATATAATAAACTGGGTTTTTTATCCTGGACATTTGCTGTATATATGCTTATAACGAAGTATGGTTACAACAAACTAAAATTAGTGGTATCTTTGACTTATAACCGTATAAACCGTAGTTTACTGTAGTTTGAATTTTATAATTCAAAACACTTAAGATTTTAATTAATTAGTTACGATATGCAGTGATAGTTGAAGGTATTATTTAAAGAAGGCCATGAATTGTAACACTTGCGTATCTCAGATGAGTGAAAAAGGGAGACGGACTTTCTTCTTTTTAAACTGTTCTGAGTCAACAAAAGAAACAGGGAATCCAAAATGACCCAAAACAGCCGATTGTCTACATGGGTGGCTTTTCAAGGTCACATTTACTCCTTTTCAGATAGAATATGCATTTTATATTATCGTGTATCGTGATACAGGTCTGTATGTACCGTGTATCGTATCGAAGGCCGCATTGAAGTTTGGGTGAATCATTTCACTCTTATATATATACTGCTAACACAAGTTTTGGGATATAATCTAGCAGGATCAAGATCCCCAATGAAAGTACAAGTCTAAACGTCAAGAAGTTGAGAAGAGTCTGTCAACTTTTTTCCTTTCTTAAAGTCAGGTTTAGTCTTGTATACCTCCCCGTACTGTTGTGCCTCCAGGGGAGGCACCAGCATCTCAGGGATCACGTTGTTCAGGTACCACTGGAATGATTGACACTTTAACTTCTCTCTGAGACCCTGCCTCTCGGACACATCACCAAGGTCAAGGTCACGAGGAAAATCCTAAAAAAGAAATATATCACATCATGCAGAAGTATATATCTTATCAGATCTTGTTTCACACATATATCAGATCATATGCTCTTGTATTGATTACATGGGTAAGCTTCAAAGAATCCATTTTGATTGAAAGGACAAATCAATGTGAAATTAATTGAGAAATCAAACATCCCTGAAAAGGCGCGCATAAGTGCATGTATATGAATACTCATGCATATTATGGTATGGCAAACATTCATCCTTTCAGTGATTTGCCTACAAACACTACACTGATATAAACGCATTGATCTGCAGAGTAAGACATTTTGCTTAAAAATACTGAATATCACCGTTCTCTGATATTATGCTAACATGGCCTGATGATTAGTCCAAGCTTCATAATGGTTTCCCTGTTCAGTTTTGTAATTTTATTCTGGCATGGACTGGGGGCTTTAGAAGGGACATAACTCCTACAGCCCTGTTGCATTCCACAACTGTCATTGTTGATGAAGTGAGACATGATTTTACTAGTGATTCACATCGTCCATTGCTGGAGCACACTATGACCGACTAATGATACACACAGGCAGGCCCGGATGAGACAGCAGGCGTTTGATATCGGATTCCTATTTCACTGCAACTTACTGCAGCAGCATAGAAGTACTCCTTGTACTCGTCCATCCACACATCAGCCACCCGCCCCAGGTTGCGGAGGATGGTGCGGCGGCTGTCAGCGGGGAACTTGTAGGGTAGGATGTTCCGGAACACATGCCCCACCCGGGAACACGGCATGATCTCCATAGAGCCGCCACACATCCACACCTGCAAAAGTAAAATACATGAGTTTAGAATATGTGTAGCCTTGTGTCATTTTATTCGGCCAAACTCATAAATTGGTCCAGTAACATAGCACTGCACTGTGTCATCCGCCGATCTGTAGATTCAGTAGCATCTGTAGAGCCAGGTGAAATGAAAAGAACATTCTCATCAATTTGATACAAATAATGGTGCAATTTTAAGTGTGCAGGAAACAGATTACTGCTCTCATGCCGGTCAAATACCATTTATCTCACAACCTATTGTTTCAAATGTATTTAAATCCCTTTCACTCATTAGATATGTTCTGAAACAACTCGTAAGATACTCGTGTAGTGATCTGTACAGCACAGTTTCTATTCACAAATAGAGGACATTGATTGCTGGTACACATGTATTTATGTGGCTGTAGTATCAAGGAAGACAGGGTTGACCTTCAGATGTCAACTTCTTTGATTTTCAGTACAGACGACAGTGCCTTTATCAAGCAGTGGTAGTGCTGCCATGTTTGCTTGAATAAGACTAAAGAAGTTGACATCAAGAAGTCAAGGCTCCATGAAGTGATGGTGTGGAAATATGATGGTTAAAACTCTTACTCCTCCCCTCACCCCTGAGGTTTGCCCTGGCTACAGTGTATCCGTTGTGTGTCCCCTGCCTTCATCCTGCATCACTCACTAGACACCCCAACAGAATGGGATTCAAACACACAAATGATGATAGCTGCTAATGTTTGTTTTTTCAAACCTAGGACATAATTTAAATTTTGCGAAAATTCCAATGGACAAGTTGAAGCAAAGGAAAACAACAGTTTAAAAACCCTAAGTACAGTGTAAGTATTACTTACTATGCACAACTTTCTCTTGACTTTCTGCACAAACTGGTGATAAGACCCATTCAAGCAAATATTCCTGTTTCTCCTGCCTTTTTCTAAACTGACTGGGCAGGGAAGGAGGACCGTATTTTTTTTTTTTTTTAAACATCTAGAAAGTATCCATAGTTAAAATGTACCATATAACCTATTTTGGCCAGTCCCACTGAGGTATGACGACACATACCCAGACCACAGCTGTTTTTCAAAACTGTTTTAAAAGGCATGGTGTGTAAAAAAGGTGTTTCTTCATATGCTTAAATCTACAAAAATAAATGCTGGGGCAATTTAATTGGCCGGCAGGTCGTGACAAGAAATTTAGTTTAATAAGCCTAAAGTATACAAATCCTATCCAAGCAACAAAATTGTAATTTAATCTACAACAAGGTAAGTTATATTGTTAAACATTAATTTTGTTGCTATGTGAGTAACATTCAGTTCTTGTTAGTTTGTTGTTTAACGCGGCATTCAGCAATATTCCAGCTGTATGACGGCAGCCTATAAATAATTGAGTCTGGATCAGACAATCCAGTGATTGACATCATGAGTATCGATCCACGCAACTGGGATACAATGACATGCATCAACGAAGTCAGCGAGTCTGACCACCCGATCCTGTTAGATGCCATTTACGACAAGCATGGGTTACTGAAGACCAAGTCTACCCAGGATCTTCACAGGTCACATTCAGTTCTCTGGGCCTTTTATCCCCTGAATGGAAAAATGTCAAAAACATATCTTAATTTGATTTTTTCCTTATTTTTGACCAAAAAAACCTTAAACTTTCAATTTTGATACAACTAACGAGCTTAAACCCTGTCAAAATGACACACATCCACATATTTTATTCAAACATGTTTAGTTCAGTTTTGAAAAAAATATGTTTTATTTGCTGCTGTGATGGATGTTTGTGCTGATCATGATGCTTGAACAAACGTGAAGCTACTTAGAGGCATTTTCCTCCATAAAATCTTTATGCTCTCCTGCTTACCGAGAAAAAGATGTAGAAATTGTTTTTATGTTTTGGAAAAATGTTCAAAACATTTTTTAAATTTCAAGTTTTCTAAAACTCTGAAGCTTCAGCTTCCATATGGTGAAACAATCATTTGAAGGTTTGAACACATTAGCAGTTTCAGAGATAGTGTTTACAGTAAACAGCCGAAACAATGGTTTCTGGATAAACAGGGTCCAGATTGTACGTGACTGATCCAACAGCTACAAGAGAAAAGGAGTTTTGTTATACAAAGTGTCCAAAATAACATTTATAGTGCTTGAAGACAATAATATATTATTCTCCCTGGAATTCACGAGCAAGGATCACTTTTATCAATATTGGAACTTTCTAATAATAGGGGATACCAACAAGAGTCATCAGGAGATGACATATCCTCCCAGTCTGGTGTAATTTAGAAATGGAGTTTAGAGACTGATCTGTATAGCACGTTCATCCAGACATAGTCAGTGGTTTTGGAGTTCTGCTCCAGAAACAAGCACTACCCTCATGTTCTGTAAAGTTCAACCTGTCATGAACACACAAAAAATAAAAATAAAAATCCCAAATCATCAAAAGGCACCAGTTCAGTACTAGACTGATCTGTATAGCAAGTGTCAACAAGAAATATTCAATGGTTTAGGAGTTCTGCTCTGGAATCGGAAAACAGGCGGACAGACGGACATACTATGTCCTGCTGATTTGAATACAAATGGTTTTCATTGATAAGCCATGTAGCGAATAAAACCAGGCTGCCTCACAACAAGTATACACAACCCTGGCCTAGCCAATGAAATACTGTATAAGATCATAGACGATACAGATGGATATTATTCATAACTAAATCATAAATCTTTCCTATCAATGTCTCAATTTAACTGTACAAAAACTGCTTTATGGGTGCATTTTCTGTCTCAGTGCATTCTGTGGAATAAGTTAGAATTGCAAACAAGGTTATTCCACTGTGATGCCCCGATACAGGAATATCCCATGACACACTGGTTCATGTTTGAATATTGCTCCTGAATTTAATCATGTGAAAACACTTTAGATTGAGTTGGCCTAAATGTTATAACATCAAGCCACATTCAAGATAATACATAGAATATACTCCATTGATGCTTGGCTATACCTGGATAGGGGCTACTAATGAGATATAATTAAGGCATTTATCGAGCATTGGCATGAAACTTAAAATCCTCAGTAGTTGTAATATTTATTGCAAATAAACAATATTTAGAAATTTATCCGTGTCATATGAAGCAGATTCTGTGTGTAATCCATGCTTAGCAACTGACTTTATATAAAAGTTGTGTTTTCGTTTTCAAAACAAGTTCTATAAAAAATCCCTCCTTAACTCTGAGAAAAATGTGCCCAAGAAACATTTATTTTATTTTATGTACCCTCACAGAAAATGTGAAAACTGATAAAAGAACAATTCCACACAACACTGACATAAATAATCTCTACTAGTTCTGCAGATGATTGTTTTTCTGTATAGAAGTTACATGTACACATGTCGAATGTAAAGTCCCATGCAAAATGTGTTGTTAGAGTTTAATATATTCTTTCCATGTACAGATTTGGCTCAATATATGCAAACTTTAGCATATTATCATGGTTGATTATATTTGAAATCTTTTTTTTAGGCGAACACATAAAACAGTTTTACCATTTTAAACATGACCTGCAAATGTTTCACTGATGTCCATTGTTAATAATATAAACTTCTTAACAGCAGGAATTTTCAATTATGATATCTCGGTAAAAGATCAATAATGTTTGTATCATTTCATATCATTGTGAAGCATATGATTCTGTCAAGAGGAATATGTCATTTGTTCTGACTTCAAATTTAATGGAAGTTGACACATACTTGCTGAAGTTGATTACCAAGTTTTCCACTGCCTGTCCTAACCTAACATTGTTTTGAAACATTCCGTGATGATGGAGAATCATCTGTACAAAATTCTTCCATTTTGTTGAAATTTGATTATATATGTTGTTTTATGCTGCAGTCAGCGATATCACAGCATCCGTCAACAATCAAACCCAAGGAAAGCAGTGATTGGCAGCCCACAATCCATACTATCACACACTGAGTCAGTAGACACATTGTATAAGGGTACTTAAAATAAAGACTGGGCTGACTGGGGAACTGTTCTATGGGAATATCGTGACTAGTTATACAAACGCTAAATCTTCCGTCATTCATCCCTTGACGACTTTCCCAGGAGAACTGCCTCGCTACTACATGGACCAGGTTTTGTGCCATTTATAGAGAGAGGACAGAATATGAATGCAAAAGAATGTTTTTAGCTTTCTTTCTGATTTTTACAAGAAAACCAAAGTAGCCAATTATCCTACAAATATAAGTCAGTCAGCATCAGGAGAATGCAACTTGCATTCCACTCCACCATGTAGCAGTGAAACAAACCATTGCTTGGCAGGAACAAGGCGATGCGATCACTGGTTTGGTTTTTACCCTGTTTTTAATCTACACGATCGATGAGGAAGTTTGTGGATCAATCAAAATATCTCCAGAGATTGGGAAAAACTGTACAGTTTGAAAAACATTTCACAACTGACTGACCCTAATCCCTGAAAAAAATCTAACTAACATGGAAACGCAATCAATTATAGGCAGGATGGAGAAGAAAATTCTGGTCGAATGAAATGTTACCTTGATTCTAATTACACAAACATCTATCAATTAAGCTTTTTACATAAAACACACTGACTCTGTTGTTCCAGCAAGTCTCTGAAGGGGAATTGCGAGAGCTGAATCCTTTTGAGCTATAAAAAGGTTTTTACATCTTCATAAGTGTTTATGATTCATTTCCGTAGATTGATTAGGTAGAAGAGGTCGCTTCATCAGAGGTTGTTATTGGAGACAAATCTGGTCATCTGGGATGGAGCTGAAGCAGTGCCGCTTTGGTAGATGAAGAGGTTCAATGTAAATATCAGGGTTGGAGATGTACATAAAGCCATGCGTCTTGGGGCAGGTGCAGTCTGTGGCTGTCACAGACTGTGTACTTGAATCAGAGGCTGTCACAGACTGTGTACTTGAATCAGAGACTGTCACAGACTGTGTACTTGAATCAGACACTGTCACAGACTGTGTACTTGAATCAGAGGCTGTCACAG